GCAGGTGGCCTAAGGAGGCCGAGTGGCGGCAGGGACAAGGCCTCAAGGGGCCTTTGAACCGCCATCCTCTCTCCAAACCTAGCCTCGCCCTAATCTGTTCCTTTGCCGATTGCTGCAAAAATTCACACTTCCCTCCCAAACAGGAACCAAGCCATCCCAAACTCACCCTGCACCGACTCTTCTCTCCTCGGAGTAACGGCGACGCTGCACGGCCTCCACCGTCCCGAGAAAAGAGCGCGCGACCGCCGGAAACGAGACGACGGAGCTCGGTGCCTCCCAAGGGATACGAAGGGCCATTCTCGATTGGGTGTCTCAAGTGTCAATCAAGGTTTATCTCCAGAGGCGGAATCGTTATTCCGTCGGGAGGCGAGACAGAAACGGACTCACGGAAAGACTGAAAGACCAAGTTGTGGGAGGGGGAAAGGAGAGCAGTAAAAAGGGAAGGGAGGAAAGTGGAAAGAGAAGGACAGAAAATGCGCGCGTAGGCGTGCTCACGAAATTCCTGCACTGCGCCTGTGCAAGAAGCAAGAGTAACAATGTCATTGTATTCCGTCTAATAGACCTAGTCTTTTCCTACAGTAAAAATGCCCCGCCATGTTTTTTTTTTTTTTTCACACTTCCGCTTTGGCGCTTGCATCCTGACACCTCGTACTTATTCAGATTTCTAGTTGCTTGTCCTGCTGCCAGGGTTACTCGGAAGTACAACTCAAATAGTCATCTCTACAGTCACAGTTACAGAAAGGGGCGGGGAAGGATGGGTGCACTTGACACCTTAGTCTGTGTGATTACACAGGAGAGAAACCAGCACCGTCATTGCCAGTGCCCTCATTTGCTGAGGAACCTAGCAATCTGAACATCACTGTTGTTCTTACGATTTACAGTTGGATTCAACAAGTGGCAGTCATCATTGCCATTAATGTATATTCTAGAACTCCTCCAGGTCAGACTGATTCTATATGCCATAGGAGGCCTATCACGTAACATTGTTTCACTAATGACTGAGTCGCCCCTGTGTTTAACCAAAGACTGCAAGGACTCAGCTGGATAGGTGTTTGCAGTTAACTCCCACTAATGAATTCACACTGAGTGTTGCAGGGTATCCCAATTGGCACCACTTCATGATCTAGATTTAAGCTGTCCTTTAGAACTTTCTGCAGTAATGGAAAGGTCCTTTTTTTTTTTTTTTTGAGAAATTTT